CGGGGCGGGGACCCCGTTACCCGTCCCCGCCCCGTCCCCGCCTCGGGGAATAATTCCCCGCCCCATCCCCGCCCCGTTACCCGTTTAAGCGGGTTTTCCTTTCCCCGTTCGGGGCGGGTCCCCGCGGGTATCGGGTTTGTCGGGTTTTTTTGCCATCCCTATTCAGTATTCTCCCAAATACTAAAATATTGAGGTGGGGAGGGGAGAGGAGGGGTTAAAATTGGAATAACAAAAGTTACCTTTGAGATAGGTATTGAAAGTCAATGTATCTATTATCTCACCAGACAAGAATCAATCTACTCAATCAAATTGGGCCCACAAAAAATGTTGGAGAAATGGGTTTTCGAAAAATGGATATTAAAGATGGCTAATTGGGGACTTAGTGCCAATTCTCTTTCGAAGAAATGTATAGCCATGATCATAGTCGTGAGACCCGACCCGAACACCGATTCGGACAATGCAGCAAGTCAGTGGGTCAATGGTTCAATCGACGGGACAATTCCTGTCAAATATATTGTAAGTTATTTTTATTGAATAATAAAAATTTGAAAATATCTATCATTAACTAGATTAACCTCATGTTATTTTGGTGACTAAGATCAATTTGTAGCCTAAATTTCACAAATCGTAACATTCCCCTTTCAGCTTCGTAGGCATTTTACTCCATTCCTCCTTTCCTTGACACACTCATCAAGCCCCTTTGGCTAATTCCATCTCCCCTGTCGTCCTTAGACCTCCAAAATCAAATCTTCATCACCAATAGATCAACTAATGCACCAAATGATACCAGTTGCTTGGCAAACAATAATTACCTCTGAAAACTTCCACATGAATTCAACTCAAACACTTCTTAGCACATGATTACTTTCTCTCAGTTGGTAGTAGTGTAAATATTCATCTGTTCGCTGGCCATTTAGGCTCACCTTTTACCATACCCTCTGAACCAGAAAAAATATTAACAGCTTTTGGAGATTTCACATTCAATAGAGTGTTTTCAAAATTTCTGAATATAAAACAAGACCCAAAGCATAAATTCAATGAATCTCAAGCATAATGGTTACATCGGGCATCCTAGAAAAGACTATAAAATAATATTCACATCAAATCAACCATTAGGTCACTTGTATATAAGCTAGTTTTAGATTTCTCATATAGTGTCTATCTTCCTTCGAATTCATCAATACAATTACATTTAAAACACAACAAAGAAACAACTAAAAAATGATGAACATCTTTCACAATTTTTTAACACAAAAATATCTTCTTCTCGTATATCGTCATATCGAAAATTTGCAATTCAACTAAAAAAAAAAGGAATTCAAACTTACATGTTCTTCTTCCATTTATTACAACTTAAAATTGAAGATTTGAATTTTTGGGAATGGTTGAAATGCAAGGAGATCGAGAGAAGGCGAAAGTGTTTTTGGTTTTTCAAAGAATCACGTATGAAATGAGTGGGTTTTGTATTCAATAACCATTGGCCCGGACAGTTCAAAGAAATATAGGCCGACAGATTTATTAAAAAATCGACGGTTCAATGGATTTTAAACGGGTTAAATGTCCATTAATAAAAATGAGTGATCCAAATCAAACCTAGGTCTGATTCGACGATTTCCGGACCGAATCGACTGATCCGATCCGCGTTTTATAACACTGGCCATGATGCTCTTTCACGATGAGCACGGGTGCATCAATGTATAGGCCTCAAAAGGAGTGCACAATTAAATGTTCGGTAAGTAAAAATGAATAATACAAAGAGAGAGAGAGAGAGTTTAAAATATTATCTATTGTATTTACAATCATGATGCACGTATATTAATTTTTACTTTAAGTTTGACATCCTTTGACATAAAATACATCATAGCCATTGATTTTTACAATACTATTTCACATCACTGACCAAATTTTTGACATACAAGGTGATGTCAACAAGAACGTGAAAGAAAAATGTACAAGTTGCTTAATTGTTATTTTTATTTGTTCAATAGTGAATGTGCATATGGAACATGCCCTTTTGATGATGATGATAATAAGTCCTGTACAACATTTTAAAATGGCGCTCCTTTTATGTAATTAAAAAAACATACTAGTACCAATAAAACACACTTAAAATGGCGCATCCTTCATGCAACTATAATTTACCCTTTCAAAACCAAAAATATATAACAATAAATTTTTTGGTGCCCCTGCAATGCCGAGGCCCTGTGCGTCGCACCACCTGCGCAGCCTCAGGGCCGCCTCTTCAAGAGACCAAACAATATGAAGAGATTGAAGACAGTAATAACATTATATACACAACACCAATATATGAACTACAAGTTACCAAAGTAATTGAAGCTCAGCACCTTCAATACATGAACTGCTCATATGTTAGTCAAGCAGGTTCCAAATTAGCATCTTTTGACACCGGGTTTTTGCTCATCATCTTCACAGAATATTCTGTCACTGACTCCAACGCTGCACCATCGTTAAGACTGAGATTGGACAGAGCATTACTCAATGCATTAGTAGCTGCTGAAACCTCTGCTACTCCCGTACTATCGCCCATTCCAACTTTTGTGGGATTTTGACTAGGTTGAGACTCGACTTCCAGCTCGAGTTTAGTGAATTCATCTTCAAGATCTTCCTCTTCAATTTCAGCTAATGCTAAATTTGATCCTGGAAGGGACCGAAAACACTTATTAGATAGAACAACATTTATCAAACTAGATTACTACAGAAGATAGTATCCAGGAACAATGTAAAGGGCTAAGATAGTCACTCCTCATTTGGCAAGTTTAAAGCACCTTTAGGAGCCTCGAACTATCCATTGTTGTCATTTACCAGTCCAACAGAGATCAGATACTACTCACAATTGTGCTATACATTCCCACATAGAGCATGTTTGGCTAATCCTAAAAAAGTACCAAGTACTTTTTGAAAATTAAAGGCTTTTTAAAAGTTCAAACATGTGAAAAAGAACACGTTACAACCTCTAAGCTTACATATATACTTGGTGAAGATCGAAAGTTACTTTCAAGTGCGTTAACATTTTTTAGGCTTAGCCAAACATACTAAAAAACAAGGATTCTATATTAAATGCAAAACTTTGACATTTTGATTAGCTATAAACATTAATGCAAATAATGTATGTCCCTGGCTTTTCAATGTACAATTCAAATTAGGGTGGCAGAAACTACCTAAAACTTTATCAACTTGCTTCAAAGAATCAATGCTCTCATCAAGATGCTGAAGACACAGAGTAACTTCTTCAACAGTTGTCTGATTATCCTTCAATGCTTGTGTACTTATTTGGATAGCCTCAGAAACCTGCATCGGGAGGTCAGAAGGTGAGTGAAAGCAGAAACAACCGTCAGTTACAAGAATGTCCCTGAAGTGACAAGCTGTCAAGAACTCCAATCATCTATCTGGAAGGTTACCAGAACTTTCTCTACTATAGCCTACTTTAAGCCCCTGTTTGGTAGAAATTAAAATCAAGATTTTCATCCAAGTCAAAGTCAACAATTAATTTTAATCACACATTTCATGGGACCCACAAACTTTTCAATCACACATTTCATCAACTTCTATCAAAATCTACTAAAAATCTGATTTTAATCCCTACCAAATAGGGGCTAAGCATTCACGCAAATAGTTCCAACTAATGCAATTTTCATAAATAAAGTAGTGAATATGAGAAATATTGGAATATTAACAACCTTATTTGAGGACTCAGCATCAGAGATAACTCTGAGAACTTCTTCAACTCGGTCCAAAAGATTTGAGCATTTATCTCGACTCTGAGAGGTCAGCTTTAGTTCTTTTGCACTTCTCAGGGCAGCACTTTTGTTGCCACATTTCAAAGAAGCTAAAGCAGACTTCCTAGTTCTGCAAAATGATCCAATGCTCTAATGACGCGAATAATTCCATAACCAAATAAAGTTGAGATAAGCTATTACTGAGCTGTCATAGTGCAGTAAGCATAGAGCCAACAACAGATTTTAAGCAACTATCCCTGGAATATACTAATGCCCAACTTCAAAAGCATGATATAGGATTTGATAAACCATACAAGGCCAATTTTCTATATGGTCAAGTCAGAAGTACTATGAGTGAAATGAGTTAAGAGTCTTACTTTTCATAACGCTGGTCGATCAAATCAAGCTGTTGCTCAAGCTTTTCCGCTGTCGAGATTAAGTGTAAAACATTGTAATCTATACTTGTGATGCTAGAAACTGCTCCTGGATTAAGACAAACTTTTACTCCCTGGGAGAAAAAATAAATGCTCTGCTCACTAGAGGTATAGGTTCTCTTTAAATTGAACTAGAATAAAAATTATTATGAATTAATACACATACTGTTGGTAGTTTTTACCATTTTCAAATGTTGAATCTGTCAAGTGAACAAAATAAGTGGACTAGTTTCAAACAATATTATTTGGAAGTTACAATCTGAACTGAATTTTGTGAAGTAACGTCATAGTACATATGGAGTGGTTGTTCAAAAGGAGCTCGTGAATTTCTTGTTTATTGGACAACTCCTTGATTTTCACAGAAACTAGCAACAAATAAGGAAGAGTCTCAACTAAAACCCAAATCATGCCCTGAATGGTTTTATCCAACTGCACAAATTTCATGCAAAGGGGGTTACTACAAAAAGTTGACCCTTTATCAAACATCCTGCCTATCTTCTGCCAGTTTATAATGAGAACAATAGGTCTGGAATAACTTCGAAGGAGAAATAAAATAGCACTTGTGCATGCTACTGTTTGTTTGTTATAACATGTTATGTGAATATAGGACCAGATTCTTTTACCTAGTCAAATAGTGAAATGTCACTAGCTTTGATCGAGTATCAGTAGTTATCCAAGAAGTGTGACAGCATAATTTTTTATGGATCTCAAATGTAGCTTGAATACCATATCCATCTTTATCCTAACAATAAGGCTAATATAAGCTACTTGCTCATTAGACAGAGGCTCAAACGATCCCCTCAAGTGTCCGAATGGTTTTTTTTTTTTTGTGTGTGGGTGTTTTTTTTTTTTTCAGTTCAGTTTATTTCTTATCCCAAAGTCCACTCACAGTAATTCAAAATTTTCAAGGATCAGTGTGTGAAGTTGGCAAAGAAGTAGACAGCCCTGCTCTATTTTTTGGATTGCCAAATTTTGCTCGAGATGAGGCTAACGTGGAGATATCAGCTGTCTTCAACTGCAGGCGTTTGATGAATACATTATGCTGAAATTTCTGATTCGTAAATTCAAACATGCAATGCAGCTGATCCTCGTTTAAATTTAAGACCATAATTGGGCTTTGAAACAAGTAAAATAACCTAACTGCACCAATTAAGCCTGAAACATTAACGACCCATTTCATTCCACCAGACCTTCTTTAGCCCGCGATCATGTCCTTTTTTATTTGACTACTTTATGCAATAGTATAATAGCACAGAGACAACACGTGGATGGACAAAACGATATAAATGACCTGCTATCAAAATTTTGAGTATTTCATATGTAACGTGTTCGCAGTATGGCATGGCATGCACTCCCAAAAAAAAAAAAAAGAGGAAAAATTGTTAACATGTTAGATAACAGAGCAAAAAAATAAAAGAAACCAAAATAAACCAAGTGTTTCAACCACTTTTCCAAGGGGTCGTGATGTGGTGAAAGGAGACATCTTTGAAATACTCTAAAATTAGTTTCTTTCACACTACATCACAAACACAATGTTACAGTGTTTATTTTGCACAATTTGCTTGAAGAAGAAACTCACACGACACTGCAGCCACACTTCACAATGTCACACCACAACTTATCTCAAAAAATCCTATTTATAGAAATCATGGATCGATTAGACATTAGAAAGGTTTAGACAGCAATCCAGAGTGACAGCCAGAAATCTTCAGGTTTAAGACTAGGTAACCAATGACGTAGGCATTGACAGCAACAAGGATTACAATGGTACAGTAAGATAAAAGAAACAGCATAACTGTTGTCGGTTGAGCAATAAAGTAGAATAGAGATGCCATAAGGGCCATATTAGAGTGCACGTGACTGTGTGGTTTACAGAAGCCCTTCCACAACAGGGTGATGATACAAATTTAAATTATAACCAGACAGCTATTTATGAGGTTCTGGTGTTCCACCCGAAGCTGAAACATATGGAAGCACAATATAGTTTAATGAGAGAAAGAGATGAAGGAATCACGACAAAGGAGCAAGTTGGTTCGAAACGGTGGCTGCTACAAGAATTGAATATTCTAAAGTATTCGCTTATGCAAGAATTTCAACTATTGTGCCACGGTTGAAATTTATCATTATTGACATTTTGGGTGCACCACAACTAAAAAATAATGTAATTTACCTCTACACGGTCGTTTTTGTTGATCACAAAGTACTTTGCTTTCTGACATTCAGACAAGTGACTCAAAATTGCGGATGCTTCCTTTGACCCTCCACAAATTTCCTGGAACTTACTCATTGTGATAACGCAAGAAGGCGTCCAATGATTTTCAGAAAAATAATTGACAACTTCAAGAGATTTTTCCTACAAAAAGTTTTGATAAAGTTCAGTCATAACCACTCAAAAATCATAAACACTACAGTGACAACAAACCTTTAACAGTGGAGCAAGTACGTAGCAATCTTCCGTCAGACTTTCTAGCGTAGTTGATGCCCGAGATAAGCTCAACAGATGTACTGCTTTGCGAAAAATCTGAGGTAGCCGCCAACCTTCAGTTGTTGGATCCAAGAGAAGTGTAACTGGCAATAAATCCCCAGCATTATACATTTCCACAAGTACACGATCAAGGCACAGAGGGGACAAGCCACCTCGACGGAACCATAAATGTTTGATGTGGCTAGGATGAAGGATGAATATGTGAAGGTGCCGAGCTACCTTAATGATCAGGTCCCTCCAGAAAAGGTAAAGGGGCTCCCAATCGCACCTCTGTCCACTCAGCGCCTTGAACCTGGATTTCATCTTCTCTTCATTGTCCCAATCTCTCACCTCCTTCATCAAAAAATTGGCCACCATCTCTTCTTCCTCGATATTCCTCTTCTTGGCATCCATACCTCATCACTTGATAAATTTAATAGCTTCTTTTCAAATTTCACCCTATATTTTCCCCGTTTACACTTTAAACTTTTATTCCAAACTCCACTAGGTAAATTTGGGCTTTCTTTTTGTTTCCCACTTCCTGTGCAAAAGAGAAATTTATCCTATAAGGACAAATATTTTTTTTTCTCAATAAGTCTTCATTAGCCAACAATTTATAACTGAAAAATATCACCTCGTTTTAAAGATAGAAAAAGTCCAATTGTCAACTCAGACTCTACTTTGGAGGATCAATAATTGATACTGTACCAGTAATGTTCTCTCATGGAAGTAAGTTGAAGGGATTAGTTCCTAAAGGATGAGAGGGAAATAGTCTAAATTTTTATTGGTCGACTTAACTTATCAGGATCGAGTTTAGTCTCCAATTTCTTCTTCTGTTGGAAAAAAAAGACTTAAAATTTGAAAACCAATGTGCAAATTTGTGTTGTCGCTATTCTAATAAATAAAGCATGTCAAAGGTTGATACGATGATCAATGAAACTTTGGTAGAAGGGATCTTTCTCATTAAGGCATTACTTGACGAGTAAACACACCCTTGTTAAAGTAAATTTGAGAGAAAAATCTTCATTTCTATAAACAATTTCAACTAATCAAAAGTCTCTATGTTTGAATATACTAAATCAATATTGTAACCACATTCAAACCACATTTAAAACTTACGAAGAAAATTGACCAAGATCGAAGCACCCAAAAGCACTCTTTGCAATGTAAATACATAATAAAATATCAATTCATATCTCAAACCTTAGTTATTATCAATCAAGCATAGTTATCTTTTTCTTTCGTAAAAATAAAACCACAAGAATTGCACTCAAACTGTAACTTTTTTCAATGGTTTGTTGAACCAAACAAAAAATAAAACACAAATTTTGAAAACCGAATATTAACTATAAAATTTAAACCAGATGAATATCAAGTGAAAAATACTAAATTACTGTGAGAAAACGAGGATGAATCAAATAAATAAGGAAATGAAAGACGAAGAGAATAGAATCGAAGAAATTGTAATACCTCGTGTACGAAAGAGATAACAGGAGGTGGCTTCAGAACTACCACTTCATCGTCGAAATCATGTAGAACAGTAATCCATAGATCCTTCCATCTGGTTCCTGATTTTGCTGGTGTATTTGTGAATTTGTTGGACCCCAAACATTTTTATTTTTTCCTTTTAAAATAACTCTCTGAATATATTGTTTTTAATATATTTAGAACTTGGGAGAGATTTCAATCCAACTAAAATTGAAAATATAGTCGTTATTGAATTTCACTCATTTAATAAAAGTTAATAATAGTGGCTAATTTTTCAATTTTAATCCGTTTTTAATCTCTCCAAAACAAGCTCTTAGAAGTTAGAAAAAGATTGAGTCTCAATTTTTGAAAAAAAAAAATTTGCATTTTAGAACAACGATTTGTCGAAGAATGTGTGGTTAAAAAATAAACAAAAGTTTTGAATTTTGTGTGTAATATTATTTTATCGAGGAATGCGTGATAGAAAATAAGAGAAAATAATATATTTTGAAAATAATATAGACCAAACAAGGGCTTAGTAGAAATTGAGAATATGTTTGATTAATATGGAAAATATATCATAGAAAATAAAATACTTTCCTTATTTTGAGGAAAACAAAAACTTACTCTCTCAAAGAAAATGGTTTCCTTGAAAACAATGAAAATTAGGCATATTTTTAAAAGTTGGAAAATATTTTTCATGAAAAAAATAACAATCAAACACTTTAAAGTAGGAATTTGAATGAAAAACTGACATTTTTCATTGAAAATAAATGTAATCAAACGCATCCTAAAATCAAAATTTTAATTTAAGTCAAAGTTAACATCTAATTTTAACCATATATTTCTCACAACTTTTCAATCGCACATTTAAGGGGTGTTTGTTTCTGATTTTGAGAATTAATTCTCAAATCAATTCTCATTTTCAACCACGCATTTTTCAATAAAATAATATTTTCTATCACATCAATAATTTTTTCTTCTTTTTCAACCACACATTTCCCATCATATTATTATTCAAAATCAATTCTTCCCCCACCAAAAATCCCTACCAAACAAGCTATTAATCAATTTTCATCAAAATTTACAAACAATCTGATTTTAATCTCATAAAATAAGGCATAGTCATGTTACACGTTAATGTCCATTTTGCGTTAACACAACAAAGAAATATTGGATAATAATAATATTGATATTACAAGACGGGGTGAGTCGATTTTGGGTCCGACCCGACACCCAAACCGACCAAACCGACCAAGTCCATTTGGATGAATTGATGTCTAAATCAACCCAACAATGCTGTTGAAATCAACTCGATCCATTGATTCTTGCCAATTCAATTCCACAATTGTTTCCATTACCCAGCTCTGGCCCAACATATTTCTTACCAAAAGATAAAATATAATAATAATAATAATCAAAACTCTGAATCAAATGATCCCACATGATCCACTACATGTGTTTTTGCAACAGTTACACCAAGACGAGTAGGATACGCCTATTATTTTAGGCTCCACTCGACGTAGCAGGTGAATTGACTTGTGCTCATTTGAAGGAAGGTGAGCTTAGCTCGCTCCACGAGCTCATTCCACATCGCAACTCTATATTTCACTACTATATAAAAGAGTGAGTTCCATTTCAACTGTTCATAAGCAGCGAGTTGAGCCGAATGATTTTTTGGCTCGGCTCGACTAGACTAAGCCTGATAGACTGAACAGACCAAAATGTCCGTTCAGAACTGATTTGGAAGCCGTCTAATTTTATTTTATTTTTTATTTTTTAAAAACGTTTGATTCAGTATTTGAAGTTACTAACATTCGTTTCCAGCGCTTTAAAATTTTTTGGAAATGTTGAAATGCGTCAATGATAAATATATGATTAATAAATTTTAAATATAAATTTTTTTTTACATTAATTGTGAAACGTAAAGTCGTGATTGTTTATGTTTCTTTTCAATCTCAACCTCATTCCAACGTCTTTTTTTCAAACTTTATTTTCATACAATTTTTCGTTCTATTCGATATTTCACGATATGAATATCAATTTGGATCGATTTCAAAATTTTTATAAAAACTTAAAATGTGATAATAATAAATATATTGTCTTTTGTTTAAAAATTGATTAGGGGTTTATGAAATAATTAACAATGACTATTCTATCGGGGATTCGTAAGAAGATATTTTTCGATAATTGGAGTTGTGNCCCCCATATTCACACCAATTTCTCCCAATTTCATTTTTATTTAGTTTCTATGCTTAGCCTGGAGCTGTATTTATTTTGTTTGTTTGATTATTTATTATTTCTTTTTTTCAAGAAACGATTATGATTTGTTTAACTTTTTTTTGTACTCTAGATGTTTGCGTGAGAAAGGAAGCTATATTTGTCAGAGAGCTATCTTTTCATCTTCAGCTTCGCCATTTCTTCTGTCTTCATTTCATTTCATTTTCTATTTCTTCATCTTTCCATTCCCTTTTCTTTTTCTTTCCTTTCTCTTTCTTCGTTATTTCTTCCATTTTCATTTTCTCTTTCTTCATCTTTCCATTCCCTTCTCTTTTTCTTTCATTTCTCTTTCTTCGAGTAAAGCGCTCACGACAGTTCTATCGTCGTTTCCATTTTCATTCTTCTCACGCACTTTTCTCTTTGGTTTAAATTTTATCTCTTGCTCTGTATCTGTACAGTTCTAGATTGGAAGTTAATTATTGGGCCGTTGTATATTAGGTGTGAAAAGGTACTATTTTCATTATATATTCTCTCTTCATCAGATTGTTTGTGTTGATTTATTATGAGTTTGTTGTGAAACAATCATCTAATCTTATGTTTGTGTATGAACGTCTGTGTATATGTTTCTACAAATTCTGTAATNGAACGTCTGTGTATATGTTTCTACAAATTCTGTAATTGTCTTGTTTGGGTTGTAGCAATATTTTTGTCTGAATAGAGACCAGTGTCAAAATTTGCTCATCGCAATCGCATTCAGGTATGACCCCTTACATTGATGTGAGCATTTACATCTATTAATATATTGTCTTAATTCGGATCAAAATCCAATTCGATCAAAATCCAGACTGAGACTCTAAATTCGTCTCCCATTAATTTCGTTGGATTCGGATCAAAATCCAATTCATTGACAGCCCCACTTCTTGCGTTGTTTATGGATTATAAACCCAATTTGCAAGAATTGCTCGGAAGGTCCTTCTTCGCTTGAGCCAAAATGAAGTTGAGCTTGCCTATTGTCGATAGTTCCAATACAAGCAATACTTTTTTTTTTTTGTAATGACCGTTGTACTGAACAATAAAAATTCTTATTTTCCAAGTGAAGTCATTTTCACAAATAAATAGGAAATACATGAAAATTTTATGGTCTTTGACCATTTAAAAGGTAAAAGATAAAAGTTAAATTGTGAAGTTAAAGGACAGAAGCCAAAAATACCCTTAATCTCATGCAAATAGTGGAGAGGAAAAAGAAAAAACTCTCACACAGTCGAGACCAGTCGACCACACCACTCTCACAGTCAACCCAACGACCACCACACAACCCAGTCATCGATGACATTGTCTTAAACAATGTTAGTTTTATCATATATTTTTTTTCAATTTAAAATGTTTTTTTATATTCTTTCTTTAATTTTTATATTCCTTCTTTAATTTATTTTTCTTTAATTTATTTTGGTATTTTATTTTTATTTGATTTAATTTATTATATTTTTCTTATTTTTTAAAAAAATTCTTAATTGTTTTATGTTTATCATAATTTTATTTTATTTCAATTTATAATGTGTTTTAATATTCTTTCTTTAATTTTATTTTTTTATTAATTTAATTCATTTAATTTTTATCCATAATTCTTATTTTTTTTCTTTAATTTATTAAATCATTTTTTTATTGGCGTCGATGTTAAATGAATCTATTTCTTAAGTATATTAGTTATTATTTGATTCACTTAATTTGACATTCCGAGCTGAGACATAGGGAGCACTAGTGGTGGGCATGGGTTGGATTGTGTCGGTTTTGCCTCAACCCAAACCCAACCCAACCCAACATGGTCATTTTGATCATAATTTAACCCAACACAATCGAATCCAACCCGTGTAAAGGTTGAAACCCAACCCAACTCAATCAAGTATCGGTCAGTTGGATTTGGTTGGTCGATTTGAGATAGATTGTCAACAAAGATTAAAGTAGGCGGGCCGGGTTGGTTTGTCAGATTTATAATTGACTCATGACTTGTATAATATTATATCTTTATAGTTGCAATGACAAAAAAAATTGAATTATTTTGGCACATCATGCCCGGAAATATTACATGCACATATTGATATTAAATTTATATGAAGCCAAGAAATTTTTTAGCAATTAAAATATTTTTGTGTTGAATGTGTATTTACTTATACTATTTTTCGTAAAATGCATTCTATTCAAGTCTTATACTATTATTCTAAGAGTTTTCATGTCTTGTGTCATATTCAAGACTCTTCGTGTGTCGCGTTTGCGTATATAGAACCTAATTAATTGTGATACGTAAATATTGTATATTGTTCTATTCGAAAATGTAAATATTGATTATTTAATTTAAATTTATTATATATTGCATATTGTTTATTAAAAAAATCTAAATATTGTTCATTTAATTATGATCCGTAATAAATTGTATATTATTTTAATTGTATGGAAAAAAAGTATGGAGACCTAATTGCAACTTTCTAAGAGTTGATTCGGAACATGAAATTGTGATTGAATATTAACATTGATAGATTACACATTTGTCTAATTGTCCTTTAGGAGAATCTGACTTGTATAAAATTGGCAAGTATGTTTTTTTGCTCTGCACTTGCTGCACTTACTGGTTGAGGACGTCCGGACCACGAGGTTCAACTTCGGGTGGCAACAAACTATTAAGTGGGAGAATATGGTCGGGAACTTCCCATTCGGCTTCATTCGGTAGAAGAAATATAGTCTTAGCATATGCTGCTCTTCAATAATATGTCGTCTAATAAGGAGAGCATAATGTTCTCGTTACAAAACCTCTATAGATAGCCTTGCGACCGCATGCTTACATGAAAAACTCTCCAGCTAAAATCAACTACAAGTACATGTGTTACCAATCAAGTCTACCATGTATGCCATATTATGTACATATTTCACGGAGAAGTGCAACTCATCAAATTGTTCTAAATTCAACTTTCTCGCAACCTCTGTAGCCATGAAGAGTTTATCTTCCTGAACCTAGGCTAGCACGCTCGTGCAACTCTGTGATTCCGTACGTCGATTGTGAAACTATTGCTGCTGCTTGTTATGAATATTCTTGATTATTGTGAGGATTGATAACTTTCGATCATTCTTGAATAATGTATTGAGAGACTTCTCATTGTTTGATGTCATCATATTGTATTGACATCTTGAAAAATGTGACAGCTCTCAATGTTCAATCCCCATTTTTGTTAGATAATCTCATGCCGAGAATAATTTATTTTCTATTTCTATCATGAACTTATTACACTTTTTAACACTGTAAGCTTCTGCAGTTCTTCTAAACAACGGAAAGGTCATCGATGTCCCCAATTACTTTCCTCAGTTTTGTGAAGAACCAACGCGTTGGCGTATCATTTTCGCTATCAATTATACTGAATGAAAAAAGGTAAATATGAATGTTGGCATCTTGACTTGTAGCAATAATCAACTTGCATTCGTATCTAACTTTCAGATTTGTACCATCAACCAAAATTAGGGGTCGTATCGCATATTGAAATCCTGAATGCATTGTCTAAAGCCATGAAGAAAGACTTGAAACAATTCTCGCCCTCCATCTCAATAAAAAAATGTCGAGTCAGGATTAGTTGTCCCCATGTTATCGCAATATTTGACCAATTTAGCATAACTCTCTTCGGTCGAGCCTATTATGTCTTCCAATGCACATTCTTTTGCCTTCTAGGCTTTCTGGTAGCTTATGACCACTCTGCACTCTAAACGGACGTCGTTAAAGATGTCTAAAGGTTTGTAGATCGTCTATGGGCCATGATACTTTTGTATTATCTGTCGACCAGTAAACCATGCTCAGGATTACCTGTAATTATTTCGACGAATTTCCACTTCGCAAGTATGTTCCCCGTGTAACTCATTCATTTCATCTTCGTTGCTCGCAAACGCCAACGACCATTGTCGTCGACGCAGACAATTGTCAACAATGACTTGTTTGATTTCTTTACTTTGAACTCAAAGTTGTATTTTAATGCAATCTGGTGCACAACTTCCTACAAATCTTTCTTTGTTTCAACAGTTGCTCGACATGTAAATCCCCTTCATCAGGAACGACATGCGAAAAATTAGAGGACAGTCCACTCAATCTAGCCCCTAAGCTCATACCCTGTTCATATCTCCGACGGGATAAAGTAATCAAATCCATTCATTCTCGTTATTGTGAACTATCAAAGAAATTCTGTGTGCAACAACGAGATCACTATGCGGAACAACTATTTCAGGAATAACTTCATCATCCTCACTAGTTATCTTCACTGTATCTTAAAAATCATTGGCATTATAATCCCCTATATCTGAATTTTCATGTTCACCGTCGGCGACATTCTTACTCACTAAAGTCATGCAAAAAGGAGTCGTGTCCATTTTGTTAAGTTCTAATAGATAATTCACTTCATCATCAGAGTAACTTTCTAGACAGAATCGGAATGGATGAATGCTCATTGAATAAAAATCTCAGTTCCATATCGTACTGAGATGGATCGATTTTTAGCTCTTTTTTAAATAATAATACATTTTCGCATATGATGTACTCGATATTACAAAAATTGGAATATCACCACATATATTACTCATCCATTTCCAAACACATCGATCTTTTCCATCAAATTCGAAATCACCAAAGTCTCAAATCGAGATTATAGTTATATCTACATGACGAAACATAGTTTTTAATTATAAGAAAAAATACTCTAAAAATCGACCCAACCCAATGACAACATAATTTTTAATTAAAAAAAATAGTCGGACCAGCTTTTAACAACCGGACCTTAAAGTCAGTTGTTAACTGACGGCAACCAGTTAGTCCCACGACCGTTTTGATCGACTGTTAACAGTCGGTCCAGTTCCTTTTGTAAATTGCTATGAATTTCATCTGAAAGAATATACATGCAGATTAATTTTTTTTTCTTGTTTATGCTTAAAAAAATTATAGACCTATTTAAAAAAATTATCTATGTGTTAATATATGTCGAAATAAGATTTATCGATTAAATAATCATACTAATTTAACGAAATGTAATTAAATATACGTAAATATACTTACTAATTCGAAGAAATAGATATAAAAAAATATTTTCTTGTTTAGCAATTGATAAATTTTTGAGATTTTGATATTGAAGCAAATGAAAAGTGAGAGTTTTTATCCGTGTTGGAAAAGAGATAAGAAAAGTTAGCTGATTTTGAAATTTTAAGAGAAAAGTGTTTAATTTTTATTTGTTAACTAACATAGTAGTATTGTTTTTTAAACAAAACAATATTTTGTAATTGTATAATATACTTAAACGTATCTCTGTCTTTTAAAACCTAGAAAGCCATTGTAAAAATATGCAATTGTTGAAAATTCAAAGTAAAAATTAGGAGGTTTGACTAATCCAAACTAAAAAAATACCCACAAATAAATACAATATGCTTTCTAACTAAGCTCCCCATTCTCAATTGTTTCCTTTTTCGTGGAGTGGTTTCAACATTCAAATGTAGGCTCAAGTGTTTCTAATTTTTTTCATCTCTTGATATAGATTGCTTCTTAGTACCGATATTTCTGTAGTTGGAGGGTTGCATGCTTGAAAAAAATCGGAGATAGAGTATTGAAACTATTGAAGAATTCATTACCATGATCATCAGGGTTCATGAATTCAGTGTAATCCACAACGACTTTTATAGAAAATTTAGTGTTCGTTTGGCATCCGTTTTTTGGTTGTAAAACTCATTCTACAACAGTAAAGGAGGACAAAATGTTTAGAGTCAAACTTTGTGTCAGATTCCAAATTAATGCCCATTTTCCCGTTGAGAATTACTTTCGATTTTGCCTTGACAAATTAATTACAATTTTCCACAAATACACTCATCCCTTTTCAACTTATTCATACTATGAAAGGGCATTGGAACAAATATTTTAATTGTTGGAAAGTACCAATTTAATGCAAGTGGGAAGGGACAATTTCTGACGGAATATGATAGATTTGGGTGATGGGTCCCACTTTTTTTGAAAAAGAAACCGTAGAAAAATGAAAATTTTTGTGAAAAAACGGGTGTCAAACGGGAGAATAAGCACAATTGATAAAAGTTAGGATTGAATAAATATTTGCAACAATGGAAAAATAATATAATATTGAAGAAATAATGGTACAGGGAAAGTAGAGATTGAAAAAATATATAGAAATAAATTAACAAATGTATAATAATTGTGATAAGTGTGGATTTTGAAATATTTTTATATTAATTTCCTCATCATTTTATCCATTTTTAACTAATATTTTTTATTAGCTTTCTTTGACATTTTGTAGGAATCGTGGAGCAAAGGTGAAACTGTCCGTTGATGGAGAGAAGGAACCTTCTACAGATTAAGGATGTGGTCATGTTGCTGCACACCTTTTGGCTACTACTGTCTCCAAGACTTTTAAGGCAGGTTATCTTTTGGGTGATATTGTATTTGCTGGCTTTTTCTCATTTAAAAATGTGAGGAAAAATAAGTTTACTTATTGTTTGAGCCTCATTCTTGGACCCAAAAAATGCATTTTTGAATAGTGTTTTGTTGGAAATAAAAAAAACATAGAAATATAAATGTGATAATGAACAAGACTGAAAACGTTTAATACAGTTAAAACTTAAAAGTGGCACAATGATAAATAAAGGGGTTGACATGTTTTATAAATAAAACCCAAATAAGTTCCTGTATGCACGAATGATACGATTTTTCTATAAAGAGAGGGAGATGTAAGTTAAAATTAATATGTTTGATGTAGTTACGATCAGTTGCAACTTACGTTTCTCGTAGTATTAATTATGATTCTAATGAAATGATAAAAAAATTAAGTTAATCTAAACTAAATGTAGTAAAAACTAAATTTATATTATCACAATTCTATAATTTTTAATTTCCACATACCGGTGATAAGTATATATTAATGGAATATTTTACTAAATTAAAGAAGTACAATGCTAGTACCATTAAAAGACAATACAACTTTCTCAGCAAAATTGTTCAAGATTAATCTTAATTATTCACCCGCGGAGGACATCTAAGACTCACTTCTTACATTCTCACAAGATGGACGATGCTGCAGTGCCAGGGAGGGTGTCACACTCTCCCTGACAGGACAGACACATTGAGAGGGGGTGGAGCCTTTTTTTTTTTTCATTTTTTATTACACGTGGGTCCCACCCTCTTGTGAAGGTCGGTCACTCAGGTGGGTGCACCTCTTCTGGCACACCAGCAAAATTCCTCACAAGATAGGTATTCAAACATTATTCATCCATTGATCTCGATGCAACAAGTTTGTACTGCACTTATAGAGTACAAGAGAGAAGCAGTGCCGAGTCATCAATCCTATCAAAATGCCCTAAACACTTAGTCCATGTTTGGCACTCATTTTAATATCATTTTCGGTTACTTAAAATCTATGAACATAATTATCTGCAACCTAATTTAACCTTGACTAAACGAAAGAAAGAAGGTTGTTTTACTTGATTTTATTGAAAATGATGTATCGATTTTATTGAGAAATGACAAAAATATTATTTTAAGGATGTCCAATCTGTCCCCTTGTATATGACCCAATGCAAATCCCACGTTCTTCACTTTTCATGTTAGCCCACGGATACAATGATACTGAAATTCCGCTTTAACCCTCACTCCTAATTTTAGAGATACCACATAAGAAGGCATTTTTCGTAATTCTCTTTAATTACGAACCCATTTTCGTACATTTCGATTTTCATACTTTTCTCTTGCAACGATATTCCCTAAACCTATCTTTATCCCTTTAGTTTTAATAATGATAAATAAGTCAACCAAAATTTTCCCCTTTTTTCATCCCTTTCTCTCCTACCCCTAATTCGACGCCGATTTCTCCTCTCGATTCTCAAATTAACCTTCGATTCTTACGATTCGCTTTTTTATCTTTCGATTGAGTCATCTTATGCTTCTATCCGTTAAGGCAATCGAAATCTAGGGTTAGGGTTTGAAACGTGTTTGCTTCTCGCCAGATCTCTGTGAATTCAGCTTTAATTTTTGTAAATTAACTAGTTTTATATCTGGGTTTCTAAATTTTCCTTCCCAATTTTTCATCCTTTTGGGGAAATTGAAAAAATATATATATTGTTCTCCTTTTCTAATGTTGTAATTTTTGGGTTGTTGGTTTCAAGTTATACGTTTCTTCATTTAATTTCTTACATGTAAAAATTAATTTTTTGGTTAAGTAAAAAGTGTTTAGATTGGGCAGTTTGGGCATAAATTGGGGATCTAGGGTTTCTTCATAATTATTAAATTCTTAATTTTTTAAAATTCTATTGGGAAACAAAAAGTTAAATCTTTTGAATTAAGTTATTGTATCTTAGTTGATTGAAAATCGGCCTGCAATATCGAGATCTGCCATTCGATTTGAGTTGAAGATTTCTCCAATTTTTGAGGTATTGCAATTTTTTTTAAACAATTATAACTTTGATATTTTGCACGAATCAACCAACTAATTTTTTTGATCATAATTTCGGAGGTTAAATAGAAAAGTTGCTGATGTGTTTTGAAGGAAAAAATTGCTGATTTAAGGGCTAAATTTATTTTATATTATTTTGGGATAATTAATAAACGTGGGCCACGTGTTATGCCATTTTAATAGTGTTTTTTTCTTCGCGCCATCAAATCCAAGTTCAATTTTTAGGTCTCCACCAAAACACGCAATGAAGGACTTATTGCCTTATTTGTTGAGAACAGTAGTGACCAAAAATATTTGCGGGTTGCTTCCTATTAGTTGTGTATTCTTTGTATAAGTTTTGACTAGTATTATACTAATTATAACAGAGAGAAGCAAAACTAGGTAAGCGTCAATCACTCTCAGTTGTCATTGGAGTTAAAATTGCCACTTCTAATCATTCAATTGTATTGATCCACGCTTCGTGATGACATCATGGAACATACTTTAATGATGCCCTTTTGGGCGTTATTATCCTTGTACATATGTATGTGGGACCTGCAACTTCATGTTGGCTATGCAGGGCTATAGTATTTGGGGAAAATTACCAGCTTTGGGCTGGAGGGGTTCAAAGTTTTAATAGAAGAGTACTCTTCCTTTGGTTGAATTGACTCGTATATTTTGCGTTAGTTACTAGTGTATTCTATTTTATTGGGTTTTACATTTTCTTGATATGGATTTGAAGATCTCTTAGTGCATAGTTTTCCCAGTTATGCCTTTTCTGTATTTCTTGTCTTTCTAGCATTTGTGGTTTTGGAAGATTTGTTAGAGATGTCGAGTCTTGATAACAGGGTTAGTAAGAGCTGTTAAGCCCTGATATCAGCTTCTTTTTGTTACCAATAGTCGTGAAAGTGTTCACCGTCAATTTTACATGTCATGGACATGTTTTGGTCTGTAGGGGAATGTTGCTTTTACGAGAGGCAAGAATCTCGATGCTGCTTCAAATTTGTTGTAAATTTGTTGTTTGAACAAATTTGGGGGTGAAATTGGGATGTCATTTTTAAGGCTTAAGCTGTCCTTGCCTGGAAGTCTATGCCTAATGAATGGTGCAACTTTTTTTCTTTCTGAAACTTGATGAATGATTTAATTTGTGATTTCTGGTACTTGTAGAATTTTAAAAAGGTCTTCTTGCCTTCTTAAAAGATATAGAATCTCATTCTGTTAACCTTCCTTTGCCATTTAGAGTATCATATGGAATTTTTTCTGAAAATATTAAGTTTGCATTGATGTGGACTCCTCATTTGAAGAAAGATTATCTTTATTATTAAATGAAAATGTTAAAGAGTGAGCTACATAGGCTGTCCCGGTTGGCGACTTTTTACTGACACTACAAAGATGATTTTCTTCACCATTTTAGTTTTGCATCCCTTTTTCTTTTCTGTTTTCTTGAATTGTATTAGTGTTTTTTATTTTTGCATATGGCTTTACATTTTTCCCTTTTCATTTTGTGCAACTTTTGCCAAATTCGCCTTGTTCATACATTTTCATAAACCTCTCTTTGATCTTACTCTTACAGTTAAACATGGTCCAAAAACGGCCTTTTGATGAAGATGAGTCACACGAGGTTTCATCTAAACAACGAAGGCAAATGGAACTCAATAGTCAGCTTGTTTCAGCTTTGGAATTTCCTCCTGAACCTGTGGTCCAGAGTTGTCATACTTCAGGTGTGAAAGGGGCTTATGAATGTCCTCAAACAAATGTTTGACCTAAGAGTTTGTCTTGTAAATTTCTTATGTAAATTTTTTATAACCCAACTTGAGTCTACTTGCTGATTCCTTTCCATAAATACTGCGCTGTTTATTCTAACCATAACTGGACGATTAGAATGCACCTGACAAAAGAGTTTTGTTGACAAAGTCCTTGGTGTAACTAGGTTTTATTGAGAAGCTCAAGGTACTCTTAAGAGATCTTAGATGGTATATCTCTCCAAGTTATTACAACTTCGATGTACCTGTAGGGAATCTTAGCCATCTTTTATAAGATTCTTTTGATCTTCTTTTGATGTCCTGAGTTATTTATTTATTTTTCGGTAATAAAGCCCCTGCTTGAGCTTAATTTCTTGAGAATTTTTTTTTTTTTATAAAAAGTTATTATTTGGAAGAATGCATGGTTAAAAGTAGAGAAAAGTTTTTGGTTTACGTGCAAAATATTTTTGTTAGGAAAAAGTGTGGTTGAAAATGAGATGAGGAAAAATGAGTTACAGAGAATGGGGCTCGAACAGGTGTAGTATACAGGAAATATCTAATGGCTTGTCCAGGTTCCCATAATGATATATTCTACTGATATCATTCCTCATTTTTTGTTGGATTCTTGGCCATTCAAGTTTTTAATTGCTATGATGGCTTGTTGTGTCACATAATCCTGTTATACTTGTTGAGCAGTTCAAATATTTGATAGGTGAAAGTTACAATGGCTTAACAAAAACCAAGGCAGAAGGTGATGAGAAGCTTGATATTGGTTATATTACTGAACCACTTTGCACCAAGAAAGATGTGGAAACCAGTGTCCCTGGTTCCCTTTCCAGCTCTTCCCTGTTTGCCGGAACTATCAGCGAAGAAGATATCAGACCAGGAGCACCATTTCACATAACGTTGTCTCCTGACCATATTTCTGAGCGTCAACCAAGGACCATAGTCCACTCTGGGGAGATATATTCTTTTCTTTTGGGTCTTCCTCCTCGGAAACTTGTCCCTGTTGGACAATATTATCAAGCTGAAATACCTGAATGGGGTGCACATTTTTGCAAGAAGACATCCAGTTGCTCAGAACATACAGAAGCACCAAATCTCGTTTCTCAACCTCTGGAATCTGATGAGGAGAGATTAGCTGGAACTTGTGTTGTTCCAATGTCTGGTTCAAATCAACTTGCAGACACTGGGGAGGTCGGGGTTGGGAGAACAGGTTGTATGTGTGACAATGAGGGTAACATCAGATGTGTTCGACAACACATAATGGAAGCTAGAGAGAAACTTAGGGGAACCTTTGGGCCTGAGACTTTTGCTGAGTTGGGTTTCTCTGATGTGGGAGAGATAGTGGCGGAGAAATGGAGTGAAGAGGAAGAGAAATTGTTTCACCAGGTTATATTTTCTAATCCCACATCATTAGGAAATAACTACTGGAACCATCTTGCTGTTGTATTTCCTTCCCGGTCAAAGAAGGAAATTGTCAGCTATTATTTTAATGTATTTATGCTACGAATACGAGCTGAGCAGAATAGATATGCCCCATTAAATATTGATAGCGACGATGATGAGTGGATGGGAATTGAAGATTCTACTGATAATGAAGTTCAAAATGGTGAGGATGATGACTCCGTGGCTGAATCACCAATGGATCCTGATCATAATGAAATCATTCATGTAAATTCTAGTGCATATGATGAGGATGTTGCACAGAGTGCTCCTGTAGATTGTAGAGTTGTGGATTTTGGTGGTGATAATATCAATGATCAAGAGGCATGTACTTGTAAGTTAGACGTTGAAAGTAGTTTGGATCCTACTGTTCGTCCTTCAGACGAAAATCTTTCTCACGATAGAGGAGGTTGTGTTACCCAAGATCGCTCAGCTACTTCTGGTGATGCTGGGGTTGGTTCACAACTAACTATGGAGAAAGCTGATAGTCAAAAACAATGGACAGGTCATTTAAGTGGAACAAATGGGTTCAGTTGCCATGAATTCATGATGGAGGCCTGCAATGCTAGAGAATGGGAGTTTGGATACCTCAATTGTCCAAGAAACGAAGTTGAACTCTTACCCACATGCAATATGATTGAAGAAGTTTTTGGGGCTGGATCTTGGGATGGACAGGGCTTAAACTAGCAAGTAGCAACCAATATCCTTTTTGTTTTATACAGTGTTGGAGAGCTTCATACTTTGGTGTACGAATCAACCTGGAGATAATAATATCCTGATCTTCCTTGTACATAGACAATGGTGGAAGATGGAAGCTCCGTACACCAAGTTGAGTAATTTTGTCAGGTTGTTACCTAGTCAACCTGTACTGTTTCTTTCTCCCCCCTCCATCCGTTGTTCTGTAATTGTTGTTGCCTTTTTGCTTGCGAGAATATGGCTTATACTTGATGATTAGGACTTGAACTCCTTGTAATGGCTTTTTAAGTAGCCATGCGTAGTGCAGAAAATCTGCTCTTGGCTAATAATAGCTCTATTCGAGGTCGGAAGCCGAGGGAAGTTTGTTTCATCCTGATGAACTTCCACTAAGCTTTCCCCTTCGTTTCTTTCAAGGTATTTTTTTACTCAGTTCTCAGGGGACACGAGTATGGTTCCTCGGCAGTGTCTCCCAGTTTTGCCCGGAAGCTTCTTTCTACTTGGAAAGGGATAAATATATATATATTTATTTATTTCTTTTTATATATTTATTTATATATATAAATAAATATTTATATGTGTGTATGTATATGTTAAAATATTTGATTTTTGAAATGTGAAAGTCGTTTTGTTATTTTTGAAATATTGTAAAGATAAAATATGAGAAATGAATTTTTTCCCTTATGAGTATTCACACTCACACCACAATTACCGAAACTCAGTTCAAGCTAAAGATACTTCGGCCGCTAAAGCACCTATTAGCAACGACACGTGTAGATTCCAAACACTCGGCTAAGAATACAATTAAAAGTGCAGCCACCAAAATGTTTAAAGGTCTCAGGCTAAGCCTCAGATTCAGGCAAAAGCATTAGTTCCCAGATTTTGACACAATTAACATAGATTTTACTAAAATAAATCCATGCATGGACTCCCCAATTGCCATTTCAAAAGATGCCATTCAGCTTCGAACTATTGTAAAATAAGTTATAGAAGACAAAAATTACAAAAAGTTTTCGATTAAAACTTGGTCTCAAGATCTGACTAAAATAATTAGTTTCGCGTTTGAATCTAATTAAAGGGATAGCGGCTCGACCGCATGATTAACTCTCATCCTTACTTATGGACTGTATAGCTACATGCTCCATTCTCCTTTTACTCCAAGCTTCCATTCCCAGGACTTTTTAAGTATTCTTCCCAATACTACTGTCTGCAATGGTTAGTGGGCACCAAGAAAAGACAAACTTAAAATCCTAGAGCTGGACTGATTTTGGACGGGAATCACCCAAGATGAACAAGAAAACACAATTTCTCTCTGTATATAGTGGATGACCAAGCTGTTCAGATGCCCTGGCTTGTGCCCCCTAGGCCTGTATTTATAGTCTATGGTCGTTCTCCAAGTCGACCTGTCGTTTAGTCATTTCTGCATGTGCAGTGTTGGAACCCTTTGAACCCACGTGTTGTGAAAAACCGGAAGAGATTAATGGAGTAATATTGACGTCAAACAGAATAGTGATTATTCTGCAGGCTGAAGTTTGATAGGTGATTAACGGAGAAGAACACAAGAGAAAACGTCAAGAAAAATACTAAAGTCTTTATTATTCGTCCCCTTTGTGAAAATAACCCACAAATCGGGTTAAATAGCTAAAGAAATCAAAATTATCGAAATTTTATCAAAATAGCAAAATCCCAATATTCATACCAAAAGACAGTACGTAATAAAAGAAATAAAATCCCAAAAATTTAGCTTAATCGGGGTTCATAATCTATATTAAAAAGGCAAATGAAATATTACTAAAAAAGACAAAAAATAACTTAAAATTAGAATTTGAAAGGAAAAACTTCGGATTTTGCCCTCGAAAAGGATTCGCACAGAGTATAGCTGGGTGGCCATGATGTATGAGCCGAAAAAAGCTTTCCAAATTGGGATTATGAGCGCGATTCCGATAACCGTAGCCAATGTTATGGCCAAATTACCAAAACTCGTCCAAATGTTACCCAATTTGGAAAAGATTACGTGCACTTGCCATATTTGTGTTGATCTGTCAACTCGTGATATCTTAGCACAATTAATGTACTGTCGACAACTCAGCGTCATCTGAGTCGGATGCTCCTGCATCAAATATGTAGTATTGATCCCTCACCAAACAAGAACAAAATTTGAAATAAAGAAAAGAAAAATGGCATA